CCCAGCCCCCCAACACGCCGCCCTCAGTCTCCACCCACCGGCTGCCCTGCCCTTTCCCTTCCCCCCTCAGACCCTCTTAAAGGCCTCCTGACTGGCTTGCCCCACCCCGTACACCTCCTACCAAACCTCACCTCTAACGCTGGGGCCAGATAGGGTGCCAGCTAACCACGCCTACCGACTAAGCCCGAAGAGAGAGCGCACCTTTCCCTCCTAGGACTCCGGGGGAAAAGGAAGTCTTGGGGCCAACCCTCGAGGCTTTTACTTTAGGACTGTTCCAACTTCCAGAGACAGTGGGGGTGCGAGGGAATTTGTGAGAAAGGTTCCTCCCGAACTCCAGGACCTAAAAGAACCCACTACATTGCTGAAAGTCGCTGATGGCGGGAAACAACAACAGTGGTTAGAAAAGACTTAGAATCGAGAATGTGAAGTACTCATAATCAAGTACAGGAAGTTCTACCCCCCTCCATAATGGTTTGTCCCACGCCAGGGGGCCCTTGCCTCCTAGAAATGGAATGTTCTAGAACTCAAAGCAGCCCCAATCCCTCATTGGCTTTCCTCGGAGGAAGAGGGCGGAGCCTGGGAACAGCTTCGTCGCCCATTGGCTCAGCACTGAACATTCTAGTCACCCTAAACCATCTTAAATTCTGGCCATTTCATCCCGAAACCGTCTCTCGAATCTGTCCACCTTCACACGCCAGCCACCCTAGTCCAGCTCCCCCCTACCTGTATATCTTCCTAGACCCCCGCAGCCTTCTGATACCTGGTCTGTCTCCTGCCTACCCTGACGTCAGAGGGATCTGAGCATGTCAGTTTAAACCTCCAATGGCTTTCTGAAGCCTACTGGAAAAACCAGACTTAAGGTTTAGTCCTACTTTTCCGCTTACTAGATGACCTTCTGCTATAATTGAATCTTAGTTTCTACCTATGGGCCTACCGTGAGTACTGAGTAACAAAGTGCATGGAAATTTGATGTAATGTTTTCTATGATTGCATTTTTGTAAAATATACAAATTGTGTGTGTGTGTATGTGTATGTTTCTATGATCTTGAAGAAGGGAGTGGGAGGGTATACGCTAGACTCTTAACATTGGTTATCTCTGGGAAGTGGAACTGGAGAGGAGGTTTGGAAAAAGTTTTTATCTTTTTAAAATACATCTTTCTATGATTGCATTTGTTACAAAAACATGTATTTCTATATGTATGCATGCTTTAAAAATCTGAAAAGTCAGGGCGCCTGGGTGGCTCAGTTGGTTAAGCGACTGCCTTCGTCTCAGGTAATGATCCTGGAGTCCCCGGATCGAGTCCCGCATCGGACTCCCTGCTCAGCGGGGAGTCTGCTTCTCCCTCTGACCCTCCCCCCCTCATGCTCTCTCTCTCTCTCTCTCTCTCTCTCATTCTCTCTCTCAAATAAATAAATAAAATCTTTAAAAAAAACTCTGAAAAGTCATGTACCAAAATGTTAACAGTGGTTATTTTGGGGTGGTAGGAATATAGTACTAAAAAAACTTTATATTTTTCTCTATTGTAGAAATTATTTATAATCATGTTTTTTTAAAAAAATTTTAAACTATTCTTTGATAACTTGTGATCATTGTAAATAATTTTTAAATATCTGTAATGTGAATGCATCCCTATAATCTCACCCTTCCCCAACCTAGAAGATAACTACTAGTGATAGTTTGATATATATCCTTCTAGTCTTTTAATATAGGCCATAGTAAATACAGTTGACCCTTGAACAACACAGGATTTGAACTGTGGAGGTCCACTTATATGTGGATTTTTAAAATAAATTCAGTACAGTACTATAAATGTATTTTCTCTTCCTTATGATTTTCTTAGTTAAAAGAACATTTTCTTTTCTCTAGCTTACTTTATTATTGTAAGAATACAGTATGTAATACATATAACCTACAAATATGTGTTAGCTGACTATTTTACTGTTAAGGCTTCTGGTCAATAGTAGGCTATTATCAGTTAGGTTTTGGGGAAGTCAAAAGATAGGCAGATTTTCAGATGTGTGGAGGTCGGAACCCCTAACCCCTGAGTTGTTCAAGGGTCAGCTGTAATTGGCAGGCTCTCCAACAAAGCATCCTCACACGTGTCTTCCGGCCTTTGCCCAGGCTGCTCCACGAGTGCCCCATGTCCCTGGGCTCCTCCTGTTCTCCCTGCTCCCATTCTCTTCATCCACCTAACTCCTGTTCAATTTCTCTTCCCCTTTCACAACAGCACTCAAATATTTCTTTCTCTTGTATTTCTTGGTCCTCCAACTCCCACCCCAAGCCAGGCAGAATTGTGCTACCTTTCCGTGTCCCCATGATACCTTATGCATACCACTTGCAGTACTTTTCAAAGCCAGGTCTGGGTCTTAATTATTTTGGTGTTTTCAGCATCTGGCATAGTGGTAAGCACCCAGTAAGTTAATTGTTGAGTGTATTGAAAGAATTCATTACATCAGTAAGGTACAAACAGATACCTTTAAAGAGAGTCCTATTTTCTTTCTTCTCTGAAATATCTTTTTCTCCACACAGACTGATTTTCTGCCACCTCACAGCTTCTTGTGGTAGGGACCTCTCTGTAGTATTTGAAACTAACCAGTATTTGAGAGATTTGGAGTTTGTAAAAAATACCCTGTAAGATTCAGGAATGAAGCTTCTGTGTGAAGGATTAAAACAGCCAAACTGTATCTTACAGACATTGAGGTAACTGATAGCCGGAGAATTTGTTGTCTGTGTTCGTTTCATTTTTGGTCAATTTCTGTTTGCGTGGGCAGGGGGGACGGGCAGAGCATGAACAAGATAATGGGAGGTCATTCTTCTCTTCTTTGAAGGTTCTACCGATGCCTTATTTCTCCTTCTTGTGGGGCACTGGCAGCTGTTCTCAGTACCAGTCGGTGGCTCACTGATCTGGAATTTAGTGAAACCAAACTGGAAGCTTCAGCTTTGAAATTGCTTGTGAAGGCTTAAAAGATCCAAATTGCAAATTACAGAAGCTCAAGTAAGTTGTAACTATTAGTTTTCTTGCTGCCAGAAAAAAAAATTTAAATATGCAACTCAAGATGGATGTTGTGTGATCAAAACACATATTGAAGAATCATGGAGAGGAAGAATAAAAGTGACAAGTCTCTAAAATTGTTCCTATGCAACAAGTTTAGGAAAAGAATTTTCATTGTAGGTGACAATAACATCAATGACTATAATAATAACCCACACTTATTGAACAATCACTTTGTGCTGAGCATTGTGCTGACTGCTTTGTATCTGTGATTTCGTTTAATTGTAAAACAGCTCTGAGAGGTTTCAGATTATTATGTCCGTTTTAGCAGATGAGGAAATGGGGACCCAAGGTCATAAGACCAAATAACATGGCCAAGGCACAGTTCAGAGCCCACATGTATCTGACTTCAAAGTCCATGGTAATGATTTTATTTTATTTTATTATTTTTTTTAAAGATTATTTATTTATTTGACAGAGAGAGAGAGTTAGCGAGAGCAGGAACACAAGTGGGGGAGTGGGAGAAGGGGAAGCAGGTTTCCCGCTGAGCAGGGAGCCCGATGCAGGGCTCGATCCCAGGACCCCGGGACCATGACCTGAGCCGAAGGCAGATGCTTAACGACTGAGCCACCCAGGCGCCCCTTTGGTAATGATTTTAGTAAAAAAGTTTATCATATATGTATTAGGGTTGTCCAGAGAAACAGAACAAATAAGATGTATATAAATATACAGTTGACCCTTGAACTGCACGGGGGTTGGGGCACCAACCCCACCCCCCACAGTCGGAAATCCACGTTTAACTTTTGACCCTCCAAAAGCTTAACTACTAATAGCCTGCTGTTGACTGGAAGCCTTACTGATAACATGAACAGTTGACTGACACATATTCTGTATATGATATATATTATATACTGTATTCCTATAAAAAAGTAAGCTGGAGAAAAGAAAATACTACTAAGAAAATCATAAGGAAGAGAAAATACATTTACAGTACTGTATTGCATTTATAAAAAAAAATTCGTGTTTGAGTGAACCCATGCAGCTCAAACCTGTGTTGTTCAGGGGTCAACTGTATAGAGATTTATTTTAAGGAATTGGCTCATGTGGATTAGGGTGGCTGTCAAGATCAGTATTTGCAAGGTAGGCCAACAGGCTGGAGACACAGGGAAAAGCTCATGTTGCAGTTCAAGTCCAAAGGCATTCTGCTTGTGAGAATTCTCTCTTCTTCCCCGGGAGGTCAGTCGATTTCTTCAAAACCTTTCAACTGATTAGGCAAGGCCCACCCAAATTATGGAGGGTAAATTACTTTACCCAAAGTCCCTGATTTAAATGTTAATCTCATCTAAAAAATACCTTCCCAGATACATCTAGAATAATTTTTGACCAGATATCTGGATATATGACTTAGCCAATGTGATACAGTTAACCATCGCAATATATATATGGGTTTATTTACTTTTTTTTTAAAGTAGACTTCACACTGAGTTCCAGTGGAGCTCAGTGCAGGGTTTGAACTCATGACCGTGGGATCAAGACCTGAGCTGAGATCAAGAGTCGGACGCTTAACCAACTGAGCCACCCAGGCACCCCTATATGTGGGGTTTTTAAAAGCAAGAGCTCTTTAACATTAAAGCTTTCTAAAATCCACTTTGAAACTCCTTTTGTCCCCCAAAATGCCTCTTTTTAAAATTTCTAAATTGGGGAGATATAGACATGTATACTTACGAGCCCTCTTCAAGGCTAAGGTTGGAGCCTGGTAACTCAAGAGAAAATTGAGGACTCAAAGATTGTAGTATATATCATAGAAATTCTTGAAAGTAATGGAAGAAAAAGTTGATGGGATTCAAGAAATTGGACTACTCAATATGGAGAAACAAAGATTAAGAAGACAGGAAGGTCGGTAATAACCACTCTTTGTCCCAAAGAAGGCATATTACATGGATGATGATGGTGGACTGGGTCTCCAAGGATGGAAAGTTAATAAATAATGAACTTTTAGATCTTTTGACTATAAAGCTTATTAAAGATATTATAGCATTTCCCCCATGGGACTTGAAAGAAGCTATGAGATAGAATTCTAAACTCATGCAAGGAGTTAAAATAAGATTAGGTCATCTTGATATTTCCTCCCAACACTTTGTTGGAGGGGCAGTCAACACTTACTGAGTTGCTACTGGGGGACACAGTGTTGTGGGAGCAAAGTACGATTCTCCCCTGGAGGCTGTGACGTTATCAAGGTTGGCAGTCTTGTATAGGTGGGCCTTTATTTTCTTTGATCATGAGGTACTGTGGGTAGGGGGTGAGTAGGACAATAAAGCAGTCCGTTCTGTCTCTGTTCATCTCTCTTTCTCTCCAGGTTTTGTGCTAGCTTTCTCCCTGAAAGCTCAGAGGTTGTTTGCAAGTATCTTGCCTCTGTTTTCATTTGCACTCCACACCTCACTGGGCTGGACCTGAGTGAAAATCCCCTGGGGGACACAGGGGTGAAGTATGTTTGTGAAGGTCTCAGACATTCCAACTGTAAAGTGGAGAAGCTAGAGTAAGTTTCTTAGAACTGTCTGGCGTCATCTTATGACTGTTGAACTTGGTGAATGCCTGCTATGTGCCAGGATCTATGCTTGGGCTTGGCAGAAGTTATTTCACCCAATTCATTCCTTCCAATAACCATATAAAATGGATTTTTAAATCCCCATTGAACAGATGTGGAAACTGAATATCACAGGGAAACGTGACTTGTCCAAGGTCACACCACTCAAAAGTGGTATAGTCAGGATGAGACTCCAAAATCTGTCTCCAAATCTCCTGCTCTTCCCAGTATACAGCCATCTTGCATGTTTACAGGAATGACACTACTTAAATATTAAGAATATTTACAGTGCACCCAACACAGCACTAGATATGGGTTGAGTTATCAGAAGGACAAGTGACAAGGCTGCCCTTAAGGACACACAGATACGAACCAACTGGAGAACAACACAATTCAATGTGCAATGAAGTGCCCAACACTGTGGAATCATTTAGAAATGCCAGATGAGCCCAGGGAAAGGTACGAGGTCACTGTGGGCTGGAGACCTCAGGAAGTGGCTTTGTGAAGGAGGTGTGCCAGGAGCTGGAACTTGAAGGGAGGCTTGGAAAACATTCTCAGAAAGCTAAGAGACAGCAGTGGCTGATTTTACTTCTTTTTTTCTTGGTAGCTTGAGCACATATTACTTAACAGATGCTAGCTGTATGGAGCTCTCTTCTTTCTTGCAAGTGAGTCAGACTTTAAAAGAGCTGTTTGTGTTTGCCAGTGCCCTGGGGGACACAGGGCTACAGCATCTCTGTGAAGGTCTGCAGCATGCAAAGGGTATTCTCAAGACTCTTGTGTAAGTGTCTGCTTATCCTTGTTCTCACGGGCCTTGGCACTTGAGATTCAGTGGGACTCCATGGTTAATGGCCACCTTGGTATCCCCATTCCTCCAGGCTTTCTGAATGTTCCCTTTCTGCAGCTTGTTGTGAGTTCCTTGCCCAAGTCCTGAGCTCCACCCAGAGCCTGACAAGGCTGCTTCTAATTAATAACAAAATTGAAGACTTGGGACTGAAATTGCTGTGCGAAGGATTAAAACAGCCTGACTGTCAGTTAAAGGATCTGGCATAAGTATCATGGACTGTAGCCACAGGCAGAGTTTCCTGATGTTTCAGCAACTCTTAAAATTAAATGAGTATTTTTTGGCCTGGTGATCGAATCTCCAAGGAAGCAATAAATGAAGAACCAAATAATTTAGGGAGTATAAATGTTCCCCTCTCCACAGTCTCTGCTTGGCCCTGGCCCAAGGGATTTTTTTTTTTTCACACGATACTCTGAGTTTCTAATGTGTTTTTGTAGTGGGCCAACAGAATTCCTCAAGTAACTCAGTGCAGATGAAATGATGCCAGCCTTCTCTACCTTACTTCCTGGCGGATGGTGGACCTGCCGCCTGACTGGAGAGTGCTGTCAGGATTTGTGCAATGCACTCTACACCAATGAGTACCTAAGAGACCTTGACCTCAGTGATAATGCCTTAGGGGACGAGGGTATGCAGGTGCTGTGTGAAGGGCTGAAACACCCCTCTTGCAAACTGCAGACCTTGTGGTAAGTGCACAGTGACTCTTTGCTCACTGGGCTCTTGTTCCAGGCTCTATATGAAATGGAGGGTCATTGTGGAACTTTCTTGAATCCCCAATTCCCCGTAGGTTAGCAGAATGTCATCTCACAGATGCGTGTTGTGGAGCTCTTTCCTCTGTCCTCAACAGAAATGAGAACCTAACATCGCTAGGCCTAAGTGGAAACGACCTCAAGGATTTTGGAGTGCAAATGCTGTATGATGCACTGATTCAGCCAATATGTAAACTACAGACATTCTAGTAAGTTACTAAGGCGGGGGAGGTGGGAGGGAGAGGGTCAAGATAGACATGTGGGGTTTGATCATAGCCCATTGCGGTGAGGAAAGAAGAAAAACTGAGGGCAAGACATGCCTAGGCAAAATATCAAAGTAAGTGAAGTGACCAGTAGGCCTCCTCCTTGGACACAGGGACAGGGCTAGAGGCAGAGAACAGGCAGCACTGGATCTCACTGCTAAGAGAAGCAGCGTGGAAGAAGAGTACCAGATCTAGATTCTGTTAGGTCCGGCTTAAATACTGGGTTTAGCATCACTAGCCACATAACCATGCTTACTTAACCTCCCTGAACTTTAGTATCCATGTCTGTAAAATGGAGCTAATACTAGTACCTGACTATCTGGTGTTAACAGGGGGATTGAATGAAGTGAAACATTAGTTATAAATGTACCTAGTACAACCTTTGACACATAGGTGGTACTCCATAAATGTTAGATTCTTTCCCTTTTCTCTTCTCATACTTGCCAGGGGTCTTCATATTTACATTTGAGAGTCTTCAAGACCCAAGGAAATGAAGCTGTAATGATGCAATTATAGGAAGTGGAGGTCTTGACCCTTTCTGGTCACTGTCCATCTGCCAGCTCAGCAGGCTGGCATGACACACAAAGTCACTCTTAATTAGGATACAGCTATGCTGTGTTGGCAGCTAACCAGTGACCAAATGGCCATTCATTTCTGGCATTCAGAACTGGAACACATAATGGAAAATAAAGGCCGAGTGCAAAAATTCCACATTTCAAAGCCAATTTGACGGATTGAAGTGTAAATGAAAACAGCATAAAGGCCTGATTACAAGTCTGGCTGAAAGAGAAGCTGGTTCTCTACTAGCAAAGTGAAGGATGTTAGTTTCAAAGGCTTGAAAGTGTGGTGATTACTGCCCAGAAAGAGAGAATCATTCACGACATGATGAGCCTCAGAGATTTAGGGACCTCCATTCCGGGGTGTCTTTCTCAAGAGAGGTAACTGCCGTCTATATTGTCAACAGGTTGGAATAAGCTTAATGATCAATACCAATGTTTCTTGAAATACTGAGTAATTTAATGTGGTGGCACTCTATAGTATGTATGCTTCAGCAAAGGTCTTAAGTGACGGTGAGGAGAAATTACTTTGTGATGGCATGCCGTATTTGCTTTTTATTGTAAATTATTACACTGTTTCCTGTATCTCTTGCTCTTTGCCTTTTAACCGATGTGCTTCCATTGTGTTTTCAGGACAACCTTCAAACCCTTATAACTTGTCAGTTGACAAGTTGATAACAGTGTGCAATAATAGCTCAGAATACAAAATAAAGGACACACACACACAGAATAGACACCATTCACTGACCTCAAATCAATTTTGATTGTTAGAGAATATGGAAGACAAACTGTAACTAATAGAAATATATACTTCCCCAAGTAAGGTGAGAGGAAATTATGGATGATTTAATGTGGTAGGATTAAAAGGGGGTGTAATTCCAGGAGAGCCTTCTAAAAGGGGGAGTCTCAGCTGGAAATTGCAAAGACTGGAGGAAGAAGGTTATTTTCTAAGAGTTGCTGGAGTGTGGGGCTGAATCTTATTCCTCATTGTATTCTCCCCCCCCCACACCATAAAGTTCCTGGCTCAGCTTTGCATATAGGAAATATGTATAGAAGACCACAATTAGTAATTTAGAGCATCTGGAGGCAAGGAATGGAGACAGTTAATGACAGGTTCAATAAAGACTAAGTGTCTAGACATTCAGAAGGTCAGGGAATAAAAGAGGCTGTGGCCTTAGAGTGGCAGAGCTCACCTTCATTCATTCCACAAATTCTTGCTGAATATCTGCTATGTGCTCGGCAAGTGTGCCAGGTGCTAGGAGACAAGAGTAAATAAGACATAAGACAGTCTGTGCTCTTCAGGGGCTACGGGGCTTAGTGGTAGAGACAGGCACAGAAACTGAAGAATACAATAGGGTGATCACGTGGTCTTAAGGGAGTCCTGGCAGGAGAAAACTCACCCAGCCCAAGAGGGTCAGGGAAAGCTTCTTGGAGGAAGGACCACCTGAGTTAAGTCTCAGGACTATTAATAGCCAGGAGAAATGGGGGTAAAGATGAAGAAGGGTAGCCCACGCTCAGAAGATAGCATGAACAAGGTAGCCAGACAATGAACTGCATGGTTTATGGTAGTTGATGGGGAAAAGGGTGGGAAATATCCAAGGAGTTTGCTCTTGCTGGAGCATAAAGTACAAAACAGAGTGTCAAGAAGACTGAGGGGGTAGGGTAGGGCAAGGCCTTGTATGCCATATGTGGTTAGTAAGACCTGTTAGCAGAATTCTGAGTGAAAACTCAGTCATTGCTTTCTTTCTCTCACATACTCTAGTAGTGGTCCATTTCGAGGCCTCTTTCATCTTTCCAAAACTGGTCCCCAAGGTAGAGCCAGTTTTGCTTCCAAAGTTGGTTGGAGAGTCAGTCCACTGCTGCTCTGTTTCTCACTGCCACGGGGGGCTGATCTTAAGAACTGACCCTAACCAGTCCCACAGAAGTTTGGTTACTAGACAGTGATGCCCTGGCTGGTCTGGATCCCTGCTAGCCCTGCAGTGCCATCATACTTGGGCTCTGAGGTTACAGATGTATTAGTCCACACATAAACATGCAACTATTGTTCTCTAAAGTATTATATGTGTCAGGGTGGTTGGGTCTAGAGGAGCTCCCGGAATCAACCACAGGTGTGTGTGTGTGTGTGTGTGTGTGTGTGTGTGTGTGTGTGTGTATATAAGAGAGACCTGCCCTTGCCCCAGAAAGGTGTAGGCCCCTGAGTTGGGTCAGGGGCCCCACTTGAGCCTTTTTCTTTCGTTAAGATAATTTTATTTTATGGGCCTTGGTGCCTTTCCCAGGCACTGGGCCTTGGGTAAAGGCCCCTAACTCACCCTGATGCATGTTCCTAATTCTAAATTTGGAAAGAAGGGGTTGAGAGTAATTGGTCTCTTAATTCCCAGAAGACCTCTGGGCTTCCTAAGCATATTGGCCCACCTCTTGCCCAACAGTGAGCTCTACACATCAAGAGGTAAGGCAACCTTTACTAAGTCACTCAAAAAAATTCTCAAGGTCTTGTTACACTTTCATGGCATTAAATATCTACTTACCCTACAGTTTCATAGTTAGCAAGGTTACTCATTTCACTTTGCTAAAGATTAGCTTCTATCCAGTAAAAACTAAAATCTTAACCTCACTACACACTTGAAAGAGCTTGTACCTTCTTTTGTAGTCAGTGGGTTTTAACTGGGGACACACATGTGGAGTTTGAAGTACTTGTTGCACACTGTGGGAAGTTTTCTAGTAGGTGGGCAGTTGGATATTGGAGTGTGCCCCGGAGATGATAGCTGAAGCCATGCCAATGGATGAGATCCTCTAGGGAGAGTGAGAAGAGAAGAACCCCTGAGGAACATCTCTGGGGAATTAGCCTTGGGCAATACCAACTTTTAAGAGGTGGGTATGGAAAGGAAAACCCATGGAGTAAACCAGGAGAGAAACGGTGTCCTGGAAGCTATGGGAAACGTGAGTTTCAAGGAAGAAGTGCTCAACAGTGTCAAAAGCAGCAGAGAGGGCCCAAAAGGATGAGTCCTGAAACGGATATCCATTGGATTTAGTCATTAGGAGGCCATAGGTGACGCTGTCAAGAGCTGTTTCAGTGGTGTGGTGGGGCTGGAAACCAGACTGCTGTGACTTGAAGAGATTGGAGATGAGGAAGAGGAGAAAGAGCAGAGACTAATCTTTCAAGAAGTTTGTGACTGGAGAGTGCTGTCAGGATTTGTGCAATGCACTCTACACCAATGAGTACCTAAGAGACCTTGACCTCAGTGATAATGCCTTAGGGGACGAGGGTATGCAGGTGCTGTGTGAAGGGCTGAAACACCCCTCTTGCAAGGGGGTGCCTGGGTGGCTCAGTCTGTTAAGCGTCTGCCTTCGGCCTCAGGTCATGATCCCAGCGTCCTGGGATCGGCCCTGCGTCAGGCTCCCTGCTCTGTGGGGAGTCTGCTCCCCCCTGCTCTTGCTCATTCGCTCTCATGAATGAATGAATGAATGAATGAATGAATGAATGAGTAAGTAAAGTTTGTGAAAAGGGGAAGAGATGTGGGGCTGTAGCTGGGAGGACTTGTGGAACTGCGGGAAGGAGGGAGTTTTCTTTTTCCTTCTTGTTGAGGATAGGCAAATTTGTGGGCTGAATGAAAGGAACCCATAGAGAGGGAGAGGTTACATATACAGGAGCAGGAACTACTGGGCTAAGGCAGCAGGCCTTGGACAAAGACAGAGAGGGACGAGAGTGAGGGTCCAAGAGGAAGTGAAGCATTTTCTCAAGGAGAGGAGCCAAGGCTGAGGGAGGAGGTAGATGGCTGAGTGGGTGAAGTAACTGAGTGGTGCTAGGGAGCAAGTAGAATGGGAATCTCATCCTCGAGGATAGGAAAACTAGTGAAGGCATCTGTTGGCTGGACTTGACACAAGATTCTTTTCATTTTTCATAGCATTGACACGGATCATTTACACGAAGAAACATTCAGAAAGATGGAAACTTTAAAAATGAGCAAGCCCGGAATCACCTGGTAGTTTCCAAGGAGAGCCCCTGAATCAGCTGCATATAGAACCCCCCCCCCCCAATCTGGCACCATCTTTAACACTAGTGAGAGAACTGGGACTAGAATCTAGCCAGGCCTTACAACACCCAGACCGGGCAGGGAAACAGTAGAGAAAAGATATGAATGAGTCAACGTAGAGGAACAAGATACTTGAAGTGATTAAAGGGCAAGAGGGTGTACAAACACGTGTTCTGTCTTATGGTGCTGATTTTAAGTAAAACTCTAATTCACAAAAGAAAGAGAGAGGAATGAGTTGGATTGATAGGGAAAGGCTTCCTGGAGGTGCAGCTTGATGTGGGCCTCGAGAATGAGCAGGATTGAGACAGGGGAGATATACTGGCTCATGGCTGTCAGACT